AACGTTCAACGGAAAATAGGAAATCTCCAATCAGATCAGAGTACGCAATTGCTGGATATTTTTAATCATCAGTGACTTGTTACCGAATTTCTAGATGGATCAAAAAGTTCAATAAAAATATAGTAAAAATTGCTAAATCCTCGTATCATACTGCCAATCATGATAACAATGAAAAAAACATCAGCAAAAAGCACGAAGCAGTTACATCTTTTACATGCCTTCCATCAATTTTATCTTGAATTTAGTAGAAAATGTAATGGCAAACCGATTTTCACTGGTGGATTGCTGTATAGATGTCGGTGTATATTCCTGATGCGTGAGGCGACATATGAGAAGAGAATTTAAAAAAAACTGATGGTAACGGAGAAGGAAGAGACAGGAGTGTATAACAAGCGGGATGAGGTGTTTTTTAGAGGCATTTATACAATTCCCCAGCTAATTCCACTCTGGCCTCGTTTTGAGAGAATATTCAGGAGTTGGTGCTTGTTCAATTCACCGCGAAAATACCCCAAATACCGGACGTCCATTAGTTGACCAACCTGCGAGCACATTTACCAAGTCATACGTGCAGCACATAAACGAAGAGATGTGAATATGTGAGGGGAAATATGGGGTGTATGGGGTAGTAGGGGATATACTCAGTACGCGCTAACTCGCAGTCCTGCATTTACCGTTCTGCGGTATTTTAGATCAATTAACTAATGGATAACTCTGTTTATGGCTCAGAGATTTATAGGAACCACGGGATTTTTATTTTGGGAAATTCCGCTGGTTCTGTGCTCGAAACAAAAAATAATGAAATGATTATGACAAGAGATGGTTGGATCATCTGCAAAAATAAAGATATTAGAACTTGCACTTGTGTCAGCATAAATTCTGGTAAAATATTGAAATCAGAGGTTAACATTGGCCCTTTCCACTATCATAGACCGTATTTTCCCAGTGTAAATATGACGCTTGAATCTCAGTATACCGCATTCATCTACTATTTAACGTTGACGATTGGCCTCGAAGAATTGTTTGCAGATCATTATAGAAATTGTCGGGGAAAACATTTTGGTGTAGCATTCACCTAGCTAACTCGGCTGGATTCTTAATCATATCTCATGAGATCAGGTTTGACCAGGGTTATATAATTTGACATAATAACATATGGCATAATGAAAATTTAATGTCGTTATACTTAATTTCTCTCGTATTTAATAAACGGCAGAGGTTGAGGTTTCGATCCAAGAATTCCCATTTGATTAGAAAGATATCCTTGAAACTCGACTGAAGAGGAACATTGTTGGATAGAATGAGAAATTCCAACTTTACCGAGTGCTACGTTTCAATGGTCCTTATACTTATGAAAGCATCTTTAAAATTACTTGGGCCTCCTAACTAATTACACGATGGATCCCGATCATTCCACCATATGCAATTTCACCATTGGAAACACGAACCAAAGAAAAATGCTAAATTTTAGTCAGAAAGGATTAAATATTTCCCTGACGTAAATAAACATTTGGAAAAGATATTGTTTTTTCAGTGTTTTTTCACTTTCTGGATATAACGCACGCTATATATTATATTAACCACTGAACACTGAATTCCAAAGCTATTTATTTCGCTTGCCCTTATTTTTTAGAGAAAATGGATATTGAAATTAGATCGTTCATTCTCAGTCTTGCGGGAATCATGATTCCCATGTTACTTACGCTCTAGAAAATTTCAGAATAGATGTGGCGTGACGTTGTGAGGGCAAATAAAAAAGAGTGCCTTTCAGGAATCGAACTCAGTGGTGCACTAAGAAGCTTGATGGTATTCTCACAGCCAGTCCCCAGGTGTTAGCCCAGGCGGCTTTTAACCCTCTCTTAAACCTCTCTCCTTTGCCCGAACATTAATAATAAACTCACGACACTAATTTCCATGATGCAGGTGACAAGGAAAATCCCAGGAAATCGAAACATGCCATATAGCCTTCACTTTATCTGCATATTCTGCACATTCTCTGTTGTATTTTCAGATAAAATCTCATGTTTTACTTGTGAAATTCAATGTAACACGCTTTCCCTCAACCTCTACCTCAAACCCTTCTCGAGAAAGTTTTTGGTCGTCTTAACCATGTATATCTTTAGGACGTGACTTCCTACCCTCTGTTGCAAAGACACTGAGAGCCACTCAAATAGATACCAAAAAGCGAAAGGGAAAAGGGTATAAAGGAATATGACAGGATGGCCTGGTGTGTTACTGGGTTAAACTTTCAGACGATGAAGTACAGAATGAATTCAGATGAGTGCAGAGCGTCACGAATTTCGTGTCATATTCACTATCACTATCATGGACACTTTTCCAACTTTTTCTTCCAAGGATGGAATAATATCCAAAGGAGCATGCACCTGATCCAGATTTTTTTTTCGAGTTTAGTCATAAAACGCGTGGGAGGTGGAATGAAAAATATGTCAGTAACATGTTGCCAGCAATTCCACATGCGTGTTCATCGTTTTTTTTTTTCGCTCTCCTTTTCTCTCACGCTCGTATAACCACTCAATTTCATCTCCGCCACACTTTTTACCCTCCTTTTCCACGCCATATTCTACTCACGCATTTTTGGGGGATCACTATTCGATTCCCCCCCAAGTCGAACTACTGCGACCCCTGCAATCCCCGTGGCTTTTGCTTTCTGTTCCCTTTACATGACGAATATATAAAGCGCATTGACTTTGTTCTGACGTGAAGTGCTATCAAAAAGTGAGATTCAAATGCTGTATTCGTGTTTTTTTTTTTCTTCTCTCATACTGATAGATGCTGATTTATATTCTCTACTGTTTGAGTACTTTATTTACGACAAAAGTAATGGGTGTTATTTTCGCAATACTTCATCATTCGGAAAAAGTCTGAGGCATGAATATCTTTTCTTTTCCATATTATTGAATCATTCGGCGTTATCTCGGTTACTTCAATAAATCATAAATGAAATTTAATGGTCGCGGGAGAATAAATGTTATCTCATTTTGGTAAAGAAATTGACTGTGAGGTGGAAGCCGACAATTCATCAAATAGAAAAAGGAAATTGTAAAAAGGCTAGGTGGAGAAACACGTTCGAGAGAACGACGGACAATAGGGGTAGAAAAGATATTCGGTGATATCTCCCTGGTCTGACTTTAGTACAGGGATTTTTTTTTAACCGCAAAGAGTTCTTGACAGGGTCCGAAGAAAGATGACCCATGTCCAGGGATCTGCGCTTGATTTCTATTGTTGGTATACTTCTACAAGAAATAATTGACATCAAACTCGGATAACATCGTAGTGATGGAGAAACAAGTTCAGCGAGAGAATGGAAAGAGATGTAATGGTTCGGATTATCTACAGATTCTTTCCTACAGGCCAATACCCTTAAATGGACTGATATGGAATTCGGCTAACTTGAATTTTGTTGACTCACTGGCATATAATATATTTAAAACAAAGAGGAAAAAACAGACAGAAATAAATAAAAAGTAGAAAAACTGTGGAGAAAGTTCTTAATGTCCAGAGGGAAATAATACACAAAATTCTAATGAAAGTATTCGCGTTTAATGCAAAATATGAGGGTCTAGTGGGCAAGGACATTAAAAATTATTTATACTTCCGTTACGACTATAACGTGTAAGTAGGTTATACAGTATCTTGCATAATATGGTTAGAGTAAAATGCGAGTTCTCGCCCAGTAGTGTTCCTTTGGGAACTCATAATCCTCCGTAGGATTCCTTCCACAAGTAAAAAATTCACAAAACTTGGAGCCCCAAATGCTAATAGAAAAATAAACGCATCAAGTTTTTCTCACTCCAAACAAAGTCTTCTCTCCATTGGGATAAAAATATGTACACTTGATGTATATAAATGGCACAGCCACATGCCACTGGATCACACACATTGAGCTGCTTTCTCATTTTGCTCACTCCGCATTTTGCGCATGGTGCACTCACAAATTTTCAGTGTCGAATGTGAATTTAACTGGCGCTCCCCGACCCACTGCCACTCGAGTGAAAAGAGAACATCATTTCAACAATCGTAAAAATTGATAGTTACTGTTTAAACCATTAAAGTTTAAGGAGAGCTCTGCTGCATTATCGTTGTTTTTATGAATTTGTTTTTCTCACTTGCACCTTTGTTTTTCTTTTATCTTTATTTTTATTGGGAGAGACATTGTTCTGTAAGTATTTATGGGTGAGTAGGGAAGAATCTTGAGACGAAATGTGTGGCGCAACGAGTCCATTACGACGATGGACCGCAATACTCAATCCCAGGGGTACATCAACGATATAGTGGACTTTCTTCAATCCTGCGGTTCAAACCCTCTCACTCGCTCATTTTCACAGCATCTAAGCAAACCCCTGGGAGAGCCACAGCCATCCCACGTACCGAATTTATAATCAGCGTTGCCAGAAATATAGACTCGAACGAGAGATGAAGAAATATACCAACCATCAACATTCACTTCATATTCCTCCTTTTCGTCACGATAAAAACCTCTGCCGTCAAACTTTTCACATAGCTTTCATCTCCATCATCGTAAAAATAAACGGCCACGCTTTTCTACCTTTCCTCCATATTTAACCATGTTTATCAAAAATCTCCAGTATTCGCAAAAAAACAATTTTTTTTTCTCAATTCAGAGCTGATGATATTCATCCCTTTATCCTCATTCAAATTATCATCCACTAACTCATCTTTACTATTTGAAAATCAAGTGAACAAAGAAATCTGCCAAGTACTTTAAAATAATTTACAGCATAGTCTCGACGGGTTGAAAATACGCAATTCAATCTCTAAAAAAAGCAACTACTATAATATTCAAACTCGATCCTCTGAACGGATGTTCTAAATCATAATTATTATAGTAGGACCAGCTCAAATATATATATACTGAATTACTCAATCCAAAATAATCTTATCTAATTTATCGAATATTGTATTTCCACATTGAAGCTTCAAAAATCATGGAATGATTAATTATTTTGCAATTCTTCTTACAGCCGACAATCTGCCACGCGGATTTCCGGTAATCACCCAGGCCCCAACAACCAAGGTCGTGGAAATGGGTCACAATGCCTTGTTATCCTGCACAGCAATTGGCTCACCCACCCCCATAATCTCCTGGATCCGCAACATGGTACCTATCAACACATCGAATCCACGATACGTCGTCCTAGACTCCGGTAAGTAACTACCTCCATTTTATAAACAGTATTATCACCATTTTTTCCCCATGTGGTGTTTTTTTTTTGTCTGGTATAACTCTGTGGCCCAGATGTGGCCCGTCATATTTTTCCAGAGTGCGTAAGTCACTGTCAGGTCCGGTTAAACGCGCGCGGGGACTGAGGGGAATACACAGGAAAATATGCGGCCAGTGTTGATCGAGTGGTCACGCGATACGACCAACATCCATCCTATCTATCTCGTTTAACACATGTATCTTCTCTGCCACAAACTCCTCCACAACTGTTCACCATCGTGTTTTATCCAGCGATGTTCGTTTATGGTGATCAACACACTCTCGTACTCTCTTGTTATACCCGCGGCAATATTCACATGGAGAACCACCGATATACATCTATCGATAATTGCCAAAAATCGCCAAGTAATGTCCAATAAATACATTGATGATATACGTGAAACGAGGCAAGACTAGTACTAAAACAGAGTAGAACATTACAATATTTTAATGTCCCATACACGTCACTCCATATTTCTCTTTCTTCAATTGTCAATAAGCGAAGTGCAGGTGTACCTGAAATTAGTGGGAATCTGCATGAAATGTTATTCATAATATCATGAATTTTCAATAATCTAAGTCTCAAGTCAAACTCGACGGAAAATGGTGATTGAATTTCACATTTCTTCTGAAAATCCGTGGAAATTATGATGAATATTATTCACGATTCCATTGCATTTCAATGGAGACTCCTAAAATTCCGTTGAATCTACACTTCAAAATCATTTTGCCGGAAATATCTATAAGTCAGAGGTGCCACCGCAGTTTTCACCAGGACAATTTGGATAGAGTAAAATGATAGGTACAAAAAAGGTCTCTATGAGAATGTCGCTATTTCCATACCATGTCGATATATTTTCTGCATATTGAAATATCAACATTTAAATTACAAGTGTGATATTCTAGCAGTGTATAATGCGCCATACGATAATCATCCAATCCTATTAAATTTTCATCCAGTCTCCAGAATCCATTAATTTCAATTGGACAAATTCATAGGAAAACAGCAGTTTATGCACTTAAATTTCATTTATTTCAGAGTTAATGTTAATTTTCCATGCGACCATGTTCAATCTCTTTCCCTTTCTCTCGTTTATGCCAATAAATATTCATCGCATCTCATTTAATAGTGAAGCTATGCACAATAAGCTTATTACCCTCGAAAATTTCATTATATTTATAACGTTTATTTGGTTATCAAATAAATTACTCTCATTACTCTGTACCTGGGAAATGCATTAAACTAATGCATGTGTGTACCGAGCAAACATCCCTAACATAATTCCCTTTTTCACGTTGTTTATCGATACTATCGGTGGCAATCGATAAGGCATCACGTTCCAAGTCATCACGTAATGGCTGGCACGGCATGGAAAATGACACTGAGTGAGAAAATAAAAAAAAAATGAAAAAAGCTCATACATACGGGGTACGTGAGCATGCCACGATGCATCTGAGTGAGTCTCTTCGCTAGTATTCTGTACGAGCGTCTCTCTATGGACGTCTTCCACCCCTTCTTCCTTTTGGTCCCACATATGTTCTACGTACCCAACTGAGCCCTTCCCCTTGTACTCATGGTACATGTACGTTAACGTATACACCACGGCAATTTTCCTGAAATTTGTCGTAAAGAAATGCCACGAGGAAACTCGTTCGGTAGTAAAGATGCAGTCGACCGGAAAGCCGATATAGGTACGCGTGCGCTTTAATGTCATGAAGAAAAAAAATCAAGATGATAAAAAAAAATTAAATTCCCTTTCAATGGAGACTGGGCGGATGTGAAAGAAAGAATATGTTCGTCCATGGAACACTTGACATTTTTAAGATCAATTAGAAACTTAATGACCGTTTTCAAATGGAATTCAATTCAAACTGACATGTGGAAAATTCAGATATTATTATAGGGACGCGTTTTTCCAAAATGAAATTCTCAGTTGGATCAAAGTTTTTGGCAAAAAAATATATTATAGGAAATATTTGTCCTCAGCAAAAATGGGTCTGTTGGAAGTTTGATGATTATTCGTTTTACTCCACATGGTTGAGCTCTTAATAATTCAACAGCTCTCTCCTGCTCCTGTCCCCAATTCCATTCCCAACGACACCTTTGCGGTATAACAGTATGAAAAGCCCCATGGTATAAGGTGAAAGGGTCGTTGACAAGCGTCTCACGCAGCGCACTTTAACTCCATTCGCGTGTCTTCAACGGCCAGGGAAAACTTGCTTTTCGTCTCTCCTTCTTCAACTTCCTTATTTCAACTTACATTCTCACTTATTTGTTATCTCTGTTACCATCTCCATTGTACCCACTCTATCCCATCCTATAAAATATCTAACATAATGTATTGTAGAGAGGGATAGTATGTACCAATGTCACTGTTGTGCGTATATTTTTACCACCACCACCACATTGCAACGTGAGAAAACATAGCAGTGGAGGAGGATGTAAAGCGAGGAAAATGGCACAGGTGTATACACATTTCCTTTTTATGCTACTTTTTCTTATGCTCTATATGTTTCTTACGTTTTTCCCCAAGTTTGTCTTGTAGTTTTTTTTTTAAGAGGGTTTACCTGGTAAAATGTAACTTTCTGGGGAAAATTTGGAGCACCGTCCGAGACCAGCTCCACCTGGCCATACCGGGCTCTCGGGGCTGCCCTATGTTCTCCTTTTATCCAGGGCCTCTGGAGGGTTGTTTCAAGACTTACGTGATATAATATAGAGGCAGAAAGAAAAATTATACCATCGTTATATAGACGAGTGTGTTTTGCAATCCCGTAGGATTTTAACATTTTTACAGTATTATGATAAAGCTATATATTACGGTTGCTTTGATTCACAGTGCCTTCGTACACTGATCCCACTCTCGGATGGGAGGATGAATTCTGGGGAATTTTGAGAAATTTAAAATTTTCCTGTAGTTACCTGAGAATTACCTGGAAACCGTGAAGTGTGGTTTGTTTTATCAAATGGGGTGTAATCAGGCATTGTACGTGATAACTGAATACGTAACGTAATTACTAAATTTCAGAGTAAATCTTAGACAATATTTCTCTATGTATGATCCCCACACGAAACATGTATGACTCCCATACCCACAGAATAACTTAAATGTAAATTATACTGAAGAAATCGTATTTTACTTTGTCGCAAGGATACTTTACGATTGAGCTAAAAGCGTGAATTACTCCCAAAATGGTCGTAAATTACCGTTCAACTTCAATCGTAAAATATCTTTCCGAAAGCGTAAAATACAATTTCTCAAATGTCATTTGCGTTCGTTTTTTTATGCCTCTGATCTTCGTTTATGACTCGCGAATAATAGTGTATTCCTTCCATTATACACTCATGTCACCCGACTCTCATATAAATCCCCTGTAATTCCCACATATTTCCGAAAGAATTCCCATTAGAAACTCCCGCGTTTTGTATCGCCGAAACACTCGCCTGTTAATGAATTTTTGATACAGTTCAATATTCAGTGAAAAAATCCTTATTCAGTCCCCCATTCCGCGTCCGCAGTTTGCAACAGTATACCAATCATGAATTATTTAATTGACGGATTTCACAGACATTCAATGAATGAACGTCAATCAAATTTCACGTATGCGCAAGTCTATGTACCATATTCTTTATTAGAACTCAAATATGTCACGTCAAAGGGTCACGCCGATAAATCGACGATCAAAGCCAATAAATTTCAACAAGTTGAAGTTGAGTCTAATATATGAATGGCATATATACCTATCAGACATTAAATTATATATTTTACAACCCTATGCAGAGTCTGTACTTCTGAGTGCTAGAAGCACCTATAAGAAATGTATAACGCCTGGAGTGTATTCGGGCAAAAGGGTTAATGCTTCGTCGAGACTCGTAAAATCCTGTCCATTAAGCTCTAGCCTAAAGTTTCGAAACAACCATGGTTAAATGTGCAAGTGGAAGATGAGAATAACAAAGAGGAAGATAGAGTAGGTTCAACACCTGCGGGACGTAAAATTCTCACTGTATCCTTTTGGCCTTCACTTCAACGCCTTCATTCGGGTACTCATCTTGCATTGGATATACGCCAGCCTTTTCTTAGCTTTCGTGTATTTGTCGTTAGCGAGTGGATGGCAGATTCTCTCATGCGGGCTCTCTACGGCCATTAGGCTATCCTCCACATACAACTATCAACTCCCCATGTACTATGCACAACGAGAACTTATGTGAATTACTGTGTCAACTCAATATCTTCTCGTGTTGTACAATGAACCATTCGTCTTACGCAAATACCCTGAGAATGGTACCGGGAATATCAATCACGGAAACAATTTAAAGCCGGAAATTCGGAGTCTTCGTTGGATCTGGACATGTCAAAAAATACTTGCAGCCAATTAAATAGTTTTTACACAAAATTGTTATTACAACGAAAATCAGTGGTTAATTGCGATAATTTTTTGTCGTTTTTGTTATACTTTTTAATTTAAAAAATAGAAAAAATGGCATTTTTCAATGAAACATTTGCACATATTCAATTTAGATGTAATTTAATTATTCCATTTTTAGAAGATGTAATGTAATACACGGAAAATACGTGCTTCGAGCTCGAATATTTCTCGCCGAGAAGACAGGGATTTTCTTATCTTAAATGGTGCCCACTCTCTTCGGCGACGGGGATAGATTTCTCGTCATGAACACCAACTACACACGAAGAGGAGTTTCATATCGTCAGCGATTTATATTCTCTCAAAAAAAAAAGAAAAATCATGGACCGCGCTTTCAACGGGGTTAAAAATCCAACGATTTTTTAGGCCTGTCATCCTTCTTCTATTCTTCCATATTCTCATTTTTTACCCTCAGTCTTTACGCACACGAAATAACGCTTCCCTTCATGATCTATATAGAACAACCCGGAAAATCGATTCAACACAGCTGTAACTTGCATCATATTAGATTTTTACGAAATTTTTTCAGACTCACCCTCACCCGGTGCAGATCAGCTCAACCCCTGGGACCGTTTTTTCAACGTCATATTTCTTTTCACGAGCATTTTTTTTCTCATCCCCTACTTACCTTCTTTCGTCCATTTTTTTAACATACTGGAGCGGTTGTGCTTGCATAATTTTCTATGTGTCATCGTTTTCACCCCTTGTTTGAAGGGGGAAGTGGCTTGATCCGTTAATGGGTCCTGAGTGTAATCCCACCTGTCGCTCTACGTTTTAAATTTCACTTTCCGCATTTTTCCTTCAAGTTCCATACAAAAGGAATAGAAATGTAGTTCATTCATCGAAGAAGGCCACCTGTCAACGAGCTAATGATTTTTTTTAATGCTATTGGATAAATAGCTTGTGTTTCTCAGTGAGAGAAATATGTCGTCTGAAATAAACAATGCGATAAAATTTAAAAGCATAGTCTAGCTTTTGATAAACAGATATGCGATCAAATCGAATATGAAAATATGTATGGATCCAGAGGAAGAGGAAGTACAGAGGACACATTTTTTTTTTCAACCCACCGAAACGAATATATAGGAGAACACACCTTCAGTGTAAACATATTTTCTATTTGTATTCTATTTGAATGGAATCCATTGCCGTACCACCAGAGTTGGAAGTTTTTCCAACGAATCGAACCCCCCACTCCTGGTATCAACTCTATACATGCAGAATGGCATTTTCCGTCGTACGTCTGGTTGGCACTGGGACAAGGGTACAGATGAAATAGAAGGGGGTGAGAATATGTAAAAACATCGGATGTGTATTTCTGTATCCGTTAGAAATGGCAGAAGAGAGGAGAAAGCAGAATGCTAAAACCCAAAGGATATATATTGGTATATTAAATTGTGACAACATTATATATATGCTTTTCCTCTTTACCAGCTCCATTAAATATCTGATAAAATTTTTCATACTGCTTTCTAAACATGAATTGAATTTAAAATACACGCATTGGATTTTTACTGTTGGTTGTACGAGTAATAGAGGCAGTACTCTCGTTCATATACAGCGCCAATCGAGAAAATGGAAGATATATAAATATATACTGATCCCCCCGTTTCGTTTTTCATGATGCACATGCTGTCTTTTACGACACCTTCGTGTTTATACTGGCTGGGTATTCCCGCAGTGGATACCTTTTAGATACTAATCTCCATGAAATACCAGAAAAAGGCTGAGGAATGAAGAAGAAATGGGAAAAATGAGGCCCAAGTGGATAAGAACGACTTTTCAGAAAATATGTATATGAAGAAAGATAACCCCAAGATGGGTGGGAGACAGAGGTTGTGTATAATGGAAAAATGAAAAAGTTAAATTCTATCGGGCAGTGCCACATACGACCCCTTCATCGGTTCGTGACTGGTGTTGGTACCAGGACACGAACGCAAAGAAAGGTAGAAAAAAGAAACTAGAATGGAAAAAAAGAACGGAAAATGTCAAAGGCGATGATCTCGCGTGTCGTTTATTAATTATTTATGAGTGGATTAAATGGGTGGACTCTCCTCTGAGTGGCGTTTTTACCCGTATTATTTTCTCCAACATTCTCTTTCCACTCTTCCATGGGATCATGTTTGGTTCCACTTACAAATGGTGAGTTCTCACTCGTGTAGAATTTCCAAACCCTACGTGGACGTCATTTTCAGGCGCAGCATTACCCCGTCCCATTCATCTACTCTCATTTTCTCTCTCCCTCACACGACACTATTTTCTGGGGAAAAAAAACGGTGGAAGAATGGTGGAGAGGAGGGGTATACCGAGCAACTCTCGCCGGAAAATTGTAGATGAGACACGATTATGTATTCCGATCGCGACCGATACCGACCCACTTCGCCTCGCATACCCTGTGATGGAGTGTTTTCTGCGCTCTAGAGAGAGCCGTTAGCCGATACCCAAATGGGCGGGAAGAGGTGAAAAAGACTACTACGCTAACCCCAGCATGACCCCTATCCTCCTCTTAACTCATGCCAGAAACTAGTCATATCGGAAAATAAATAGCAATCGTTTCACTTAGACCGGCCATTAAACTCTCATAAATTAATTTTCCAGCAACAATTTAGTTCAATATTGGTTGTTTAGTGCAGGGGTAGGCAACCAGTGCTCTGGGAGCAAATTGTGTTCCTACATGTCCGAAGTTATTCACCCCAAGAAAAAATTCCGTGGACAAAGTCCCCAAAAAAATCTCCCCGTATTTCCTGTGCGGGACCAACGTATCCTAGAACCGCATTAGCTAATTCTACTCAAAAAAATATTTTATGTTATTTTTTTTTTCCCCAATTCCCTGGCATTTGAACTGAAAAGTAATGCACGCGTTTTGGTACAACAAGGCATTACTCTCCATCGTACAGACGACCAGAAAAGTGGCTGTTTCGTTGCTAGACACGTACAACACTACTTCAACCTTCCATTTTGGTCCACCGTCCATTTTGCGCAGCCCTCTCCGAAGGCTTTCAATGCAGGCTTTCAATGTAGATGTATGCGATACAATTGAGTGTCTTGAACATGTCTGAGACACATGGGGGAGGTAACGATTCGGCCTGGTGATATGTTCAACGTTTGTCATGTAATAATCAGCAGTAGTGACATAAGCTGACATGCACAGTGTGACCTCATTAGTGGAGTTCCGATCATTTAAGATTTGTTAAGGTACCTCTTCGTCACTGCGTTGAGTCCTATCCAATTAGTTTTTTCTCTTTTCCGTTATTAAATTTTTTACTATTTCATCCCTCTCGAATTATATTTAGCAAATATCGAATAACGGAACAATAAGCTGTTAACGATTATGAATTTGAATAGGCATTTCGGGATGCCCAGCATTCCCACATGTTCGTTACAGTGTTTTTTGATTTTTTAAATAATAAACAGTGGAAACAATGGAAAATGAACATGAGAATGGGTGATGCGAGGGGTGCGCTTAAATTCGCGTGTTTCATCGAGGAGCAATGGGCGTTGTGCAATGTGAGTATAGGGTGAAAAACGCTATCCTTCCACCTCGGCTTTACTCAGCCCATTCCACCCTGATATTCCACGGCCTCGTGTGTTTGTTTTAGGTTGGATAGACAGGGTGGTGGGTGAGTACGCCTAACAGAAAGGGAAAGGGAGGGAAGGCAAAAGGGATTGAGGTACACTGAGTAGGTAAGCTAAATTATACCGCGGAGTGACGCAGGCGAAGATAATCACACGCCTTGCAACAGCCAGTTCATCAGGCACAGGGTATCGTGCAGGAGTTGATGATGCATCGGGCAAACGGACACGAAATACTCTGACTAGGAGACAACCCTCTCAAAATCCAATACATAAAAGCCCTTACACACATATCCACTTGTCTCTCTCACCAGAAACGATTCTCCAGGAACTCTATTACCGCTTGTGAAATGCGACGGAAAAGAGGTGGTTTTACATTGCTATATGAGAATCCACTGTGAATACACCAGTGCGAAAATCCACCTGTTTCAGACAGCCGCATTCCACTCGAGCTTTTTCAATTAACCCCTTTCCATTTGATTTTTGATTTTTATTTTCTTCTCCAGGTGCACTGCAAATTGAAGCTTCGGAAATAGAAGATCAGGGACAGTACGAGTGTGTTGCTAATAATACCGTTGGCACTGAGTACTCAGGAGTCATTCAGCTTTATGTCAGAGGTGAGGCAATTTTTTTTTAAATGCTCTTTTGGTTGTTTAGAGAGTTACCACGATTTATTGAGGTAATAATGAAATTTGTCTTTGTCTTTCAGTGAGGCGCCTTCCACCAAATTTTTCAATCCGTCCACCCGCCGTTAGTGAGGTAATGATGGGTGCATCACTCAATCTGACCTGCGTTGCTGTAGGCTCCCCAATGCCATACGTCAAGTGGAGGAAAGAGCCAGCAATTGACATGACTCCCGATGACAAACTTCCAATTGGCAGAAATGTACTAATCCTATTTGATATCAAAGAATCAGCGAATTACACTTGCATTGCTGCTAGTGATCTTGGAGTTATTGAGACTGTGTCGTCCGTTAGAGTCCAATGTACGTATTGAACAGATCCAAGATGGTGTACTCCTTTCGCTGGTACAACGCACATTTCATCTGATAATTATCCTTTTTCATTGCTTGTTTCAGCCCTTCCGGGAGCTCCTGAAAATGTTCAGGTCTCGGAAATAACAGCTACGTCTGTCAAACTCACGTGGTCCTATAAACGTCCTGATGAACTACAGTACTACGTTATTCAGCATAAGCCCAAACAAGCTAATCAGGCATTCGCAGAAATATCTGGCATCACGACAATGTACTATCACATTAGGAATCTTAGTCCCTACACCGAGTACGAGCTCTATGTGATTGCTGTTAATTCAATTGGACGGGGTCCCCGAAGCCACCCTGTATTTGTTACTACTGGTGAAACAAGTCAGTATTATTTTTATTTTTATCGTTCTCAATGAACACATCAATTCCACGTATTACTACTTATTTTTTATAGCTAATTCAATCCCTTGGAAATTGTATAAATAATAGTGTTCATCCCTTCCTTCATCGTCAGTCATTTTCGGGAACTCAAATTTTATGAAACTTTCAGCATTTTCGTGGTGCACAACGATCGCTTTTCCATATGACAGTCATCTCCCGAAAAATATCTTTATGTCATCATTCGAGTTATTACAGTTTTATTACTTCTGAGCGGAAATTTTACAATTCCCTGATTTTTCGATTTTATATTTTGCGTCTAATAGCCTCCGCGCGTTCTCACCGACAGAAACGATCCGCATTCAATCGGAGCGGAGTTAAAAATTTTATCAATTCTAGAGTGGCATAAAATTAACTTTTTTAAAGTCGTTTTTTTTAGGGGGGGGGGGGGGCAAACTCTTGGGCTCTATACTACCAATTAAATTGAGAGCAATTGAAATAGAAGAAAGAAAATATGCAGAGAGTAGCATTCCTATGTCAACTCGATTCTATCCTCTGGTTTTTAATCTTTCCGGTGTTTACCGTACCACTTATATATCATTCGCATAGCATTGAGACAACCTTGATGGAAACTTTGTCCTTTATTTTTCCATGCTGCTGTTCACGTATGCACCTTCAATCTGTGTAAGTAACGAGGATGGCTTCTGTGATACTCATGTCATGAGTTTTTGTAGCATTACACTTTGATACATAATATTTACACTCTCATCAAACGAAGTGATACTTTGTGTCATTTGCTAAATTTTGCGAGAGTATAGATTTATACGTATATACGTATAATAAAGGAGCAAAATACACAAATTGAAAAAAAAAAATGTATGTGGGTTATTTCAAAGGAGATGTCGAACTCATTCTCTATTTATTCAAGAGTCTTCCATTTCAACCAGATACCGAGTATTGATTATTGATTAGAGTTTTGCCTTGTTGTTTTTAATGTTCGGTCGAGTTTTGGATGATTGTATCTCCTATGAAATTCCGCGAAAACATTTTCTAGCAAACCAGTTTTTTTTTTGAAAATACTAAACGACCGTTTTCTCTTTAGCGATCTCAACAAATGGAGGTTCCAGTAAGTTGAAAAAGAAATATAATAAGTGTGTCTAAGTAGTTACACCGTACACTCTCAGAATTTTTTCGTTTTTACCCTGGTCGTCTGCACTCTGAGTCGCACATTATTATATCGCTATTAGTCTGTTGAATATTCGTAATTAACAGCAACACACACAACGTAATTATTTTTCATTGATTGTCATTCACTGAGTTGATCGTTAACTTAACTGTTAACGTATGTAGTTTCAATTCCGATATAGACAATCGATCACACATTGGTTTTTTTTACTCCTTTGTTTTATCTATTTTGACTAATTAATTAAACTTGTTAAGAATATTCTTGGTTTGGAAATGCACATCATTTTATATTGTGTTATTTCCTCGCTGGTCTATTCAGCGGTTTTGAGTTTGAAATTGATGAATAATTAGCAAGGAACAAAAGTTTATATGAACAGACTTTCAAATGTAAAAAACAACGAAAAAAAAAACAGAATTTTTCTTCTTTTCAGGACCGGGTTCAGCACCACGTAAACTTCAAGTTCGCCCGTTGAGTTCAAGTACCATGATTATACAGTGGGAAGAACCGGAAACGCCGAATGGCCAAGTGACGGTAATAAAACTGAAAAAAAAATTTTACCCCTTGAAAAATCGTAAAAAATAATTAACCGTGATGAGAAGTGAAGCGCACTTGACACAGAATTTTTTTTTTTCAACTTCATTTCAGGGCTACAAGGTTTATTATACGACCGACTCCAATCAGCCAATGGCTTCGTGGCATTCACAAGTTGTGAATAATAACCAACTGACCACGATATCCGAACTCATACCTCACACAATGTACACAATACGCGTGCAAGCACTGACTAGTGTTGGTCCTGGACCACTGAGCCAACCGATACAAATAAAGACGCAACAAGGGGTGCCTAGCCAACCGGAAAATCTTTCGGTAGTCGATAGCGGGGAAACCTCGGCGACGCTCCGCTGGAGCAAGCCGGCTCATAGCGCTGAAAATATTCTTAGCTATGAGTTATACTGGAACGACACTTATGCCAAGGTACAGATATACCGTCTTTAATCAACTTGTCAAATCAATTGTCAAATTAATATTTGTCACATTACCTCCAACAATGGGCTTTTCCATGGAATGAAAATTGTAAATGTTGCCGACTAGGAGAAACATCATCGGAGAATACCAGTGACAGAGAACTACACCCTTACTGGTCTTTATCCAAATACCGTGTACTACGTGTGGTTGGCAGCTAGGAGTCAAAGGGGCGAGGGTGCAACAACGATACCCTATGAAGTTCGCACCAAGCAGTACGGTAAGCAAAGTGAACTCCAAAACCAACCCCATAAAAGCAGCGAGGAGTGCCACGAGTAGGACAGTTGTTTTTAATGTGCATTAACCACCGAGTATCAAGTTTGCGATCATATCAATTGATCAATAATGTACTTATGGTAGTGATGACATGAATTACAACTAGTGGCACAGCAGGTAGGAACAACGTAAAGTATTGGCTAGGCACTCCCGCAAGTAGCGTAAGCTAAGGAGTATGACCCGATTACATTTATTGGCCTTCCATTGAAATATTTTTTCGTTACACTAATTGGTGGACTCGAAATAACTCATGAAATCTTTTGATTTTGTTGTTTATTTAATTTTGATACACTCGGGAATAGATAATCGAGAAATTACTAAGGCGAAATAGAGAATATGACAGTATGGGAGAGTGAGAATGACTGCATGCCTTGCAAACAAGCCGTTTTTGGATGCCATTATATATATCTATCTATATATATAAACGTATATATCATACATATAAATTGCACTAAGCACTGCATTAATATATGTGTGCATTTTGAAGCACCTCTATTTTCATTCTTGATAATTCTATTGTTTAAAACATCTATTAAGTTTAGTTTGAAGTCGTTCCCTCGAACGATCATTTATTATTACTTCATTGATAAAAATAGCTCTCTATTTGAGCCGAGATGAGAATGATGACATATACTTTCGAACTGGTTTTTAAGGACCTAATATTTTTTGTTTAACTTTAATAATCCTCATCTCCGTTAATGATTAATTCTTAGATTGTTCAAGGAGTTTCTACGTATATACTTTATATAATCCACTCATCCTGGAAATTATCGGATCTTCCGACTTAAAATCTGCAGCCACTGATGATCCTTATCTAGAGCAAAAGTTCACAGTTAATAATTTACGGTAGGAATTAACCAAAGTGTCAATTGTAGCTTCTCCAGTAAATATAATCCTGTCGTAAAGTGTTTGTAGGGTTTTCAATTGGATGAAATAAAAGTTGAGATGAAAGAGAATTGAGGTTTTGGTTGATCTTTATTGTGAATCACAAGGTGAATTTTTTTTTCCGGACTATCAGTGGCTGGAGGTGCCCTAGTTGATTTCTTCTACTCCTCCGTTTTGTGCGCCCTCACCACTCCTCACCTTGGCCATTTCCTCATTCTCCTCATTTCTCCCTTTATGGTTTTCTTGTCGTTTTGTTTTTTTTTCCTTCCTATAACTGAGTGTTATACAGTACCCGGGGCTCCGCCTCGGAATGTAACTGGACGAGCGACCAGCGGAACTGCCATTGAGGTATCATGGGAACCACCGCCAAAGGAAAGCACCAATGGAAAGATCATTTACTACAAACTTCAGGTGGTGGAAACAGGACTTTCCGACTCGGACGCACGTGTTATCAAGCTCATTGACACCAAATTTACGTTGGATGAGCTGAAAAAATGGACGACATATCGTATTTGGGTGGCGGCTGGAACTAGCGTAGGTGACGGACCACCGAGTTATCCTATCACTGTCAGAACTTATGAGGACGGTATGTATTCATTAATGAAGTGAACAAGATATTAATTTTTTATTTTCGTTTAATTTGGCGGAGGGCATCGAATATACAGATGAGATGGTCTATCAAAAATTCCTATTTACGACTAAATAAGGGATATTATTTTATTAAAATTATGGACCAATCTCACTGGAGTTTCAGCCAATGTTTGTCAAAGCAGTGACGTAAGTCGAGCATTTTCAGTGAGCCAAAAATATAAAAGCCCGCCACACGGTTTGTTATATATCTCGTTTTTCCCATCGCTATTTTCCACGGCTTTCGCTGAAGCTGAAATTACTAATACTCACATCGGATTGATAATTTCAATATTTCAGGTGGTATCTTTCATACTAATTGTCATCTCAATTTCTCCTCTCTGTCCTTCAATCCATACCACCTTTACACAATAACACCATATATGACTTATTCAGTGATTCAGGGCTACGATTGTGTACATTATGAATACTCTCAAACACGTAGTTTATTATTCACTGAAATATTTTCCAAATACTAAAAAACTCAATTTGACGTTTAAATTCCACATAGACAATACTAAAATAGTAGATAAATGACTCAAACCATCCTGCAAATAATGGTGATATAATTTTTGGCATGAGAGAAGAAAAGCCGGATTAAATTGAATGAAATTCCAAAAATTACGATTTTTTTTTTGTCGAAACCACCGTGACCGCGCCTCATCGGGATATATCACGCGATATTCGTACGAATTGGTGACTCCGTGTGGTAAACTATTGGAAAAATAATAAAATGAAAGTAGTGGGGCCAATATTATTGGCTGGCGAGATTTTATATTTTTGGAATGTTGGTAGCGTCGAACCACAGGTACGAGGAGACCGGTTAATTTCATAAGAGCCCTCGTCCTTTGGTAGTGCTTTCGGTCAAAATTTGATTTAAATTTTTACGTTGAATGTTTCAATTTATTTTATTTTTATACTCTTTGTGTTGGAATGCTTGCGTCGAAACCAGGAGGACGAGGAACGGTTCAATTACGTTATCTTTTATAAATTCACTTTTTACAAAGCACCTCGTCCCCAATGGTATGCGTCTAGGAATTTTTTTCCAGGTCCAACCGGAGCCCACGGATTTTGTCGGATGCTGATAAATATCATTTTCTTAATTATTTTCAATTCAGCTGAATTGTTGAAAGAAAAGGGCCTACTTTATTCATAACAAAATTTTTCCAGGTGGCTCTCAATCCTTTGTGCTCGTGACTCGTGACATTTTATGTTCTCTAATTTTTACATTTCATTTAATTCCATATAAAGGAGGAAATTGATTTTAAACACGCTAATGAATGCCCACGTGTTTTCTGTCTTTTCCTTAATGCATTTGCAGGAGGATGTATTCCAGGTTTTCATAACAGCTAGTACTTAAGAATTATTCACACTTACCTTTAAAAATAATCACCTGATAATTGTGTACTACAATCAAATTTTCTATGCTATCATTTCCATTTGTTATTTCATGACTGACGTGGCTCAGTAAAAATATCAACATTTTTACTTACACGAAAATTCATTCACTCATTCTTGGCACATAAAATGACAATAAACATAAACAGGCATTTGTCTCGAAATTGGCAACTAAAAATCCTTTTCTATCATTCACCGATATTGTTCTTGACAACAAATATCGAAGGTCAGATTAAATGGTGTATAATTGCCAAAGAGAGACAACAAACTGCTTCCTCATACTAACATATCCATAAAGAGACATCAAATCATAACACCAGCATGTGACTCTCATACAGAATAAAAAAACAAAAAATTTTTTGAAAAAAATAATCAAATCTTTTTCAAATATCACACAATATATATTTCTATCTCTCTGATATAAAGTTTTATTGTCTTTAGTTGAGATTTAGTTCTATCGTTTGCACATGTTAGAGCATGCTTACGTTTGTTTAAAAATCCTTCGGATGCCCTAATCCTTCAATAATCGAGCTCTCAATCTCTTTCGTCTGAAACAGAAGTTTACTAAATCCTCCTTTGACCCGTTTACATTGCTACCCTGGTCTTGTGCATCTAAACACCAAACACCCACTAGTTCGTCGTCAATAAACTGGGCCGAGTCTGCGGGAACACATAATCTTCTATTTTTTATCAATCGATTCGGAAACTTCACGAGTCGATGAAAAAAAATACTCCCCATCATTCTCATTTTATTTCTAAAGATATCCTCATCCCTATGAATGGCATGCCGATGCATGGGGCAATTTCATTTTATTTTTTGAAACAGTGAAAAAAATATGATAACTCAAAAACAAAATAAACCTTATCCAGTGTTCCACTTGACTGGTCTCGCATGTTCGGATTTCCTTCGACGACGGTACAAAAAAATTTTCCTATTTTTTTTTTTTTTTCGTTACTCATCACACCAAATCACTTTCCACGCACTAACGCGTAGTCCAACCGTAGACCCGGTACATTGCTCGTTACATTTTCGCCGCTCAATCAGCTAGAAAAGCAATTTAGTGAAATGACAATTACAATGGACCAGACCGTACATCCTATCCTGAAATTTCCCCATTTCCACTTCATAACAATCAAATAGCAAATGATTTGAGTATAAATTCACCGAATAAATCATCGATATTATAAGTAAGGAAAAATAAATCCAATGCAGACTCGGCAGATAAAGAGGCACAACAAAATAATAAAGCACCGCTGAAAGCACCCCCATCATATCATTATAAGTTGCACTGTGTGAAAAGCACCAAATGAATACCACAGTATTGCGTAGGGGCACTTGAATCACTATTGGTGGAAGCACCATTGCACCACTGTGTACAAGTACACATGTATGAACATATATGAGCTAATTGCAAATATCATAATTCGCATTCGCCAATGATCTGCATATTGGGCCAAGAAAATTCAGTAGATTGTGAACTTGGTTGATATATTTAACAGCAATCTTTATGTGTTCATTCACTAGATCTATCATCTATTTAATCTCACGACTAACGAAATAGTACAAGCACTATATTTAATAAACGTGTCGAGCACCAAAAAGCACCCTACACCGAAAGCACCCTGAGGTGCACCCTAATATCGTCTGAAACGAGATCTCGCTCTCGCAACTAACACTCTCCGGTGGCTATACTCATACCAATATTATTATTATATTATTCGGCTTGATCGTAAAACTTTTGGTATGTGAGGATAGCCTTCCAGAGTGCGTCAGATGTGTGACCGGGTGTGCGAATGAGTGCGTGAGTGCGGATATAAAGAAAAAGAGGTCAGATATTAAAACGAAAAAAGTATATATATCTAGATCTATATGGATAAGAAAGGAAAGAGTACGTACAAAGAGTGAAAACCGATGAAGTAGAAGACTAGGGAGGAGGGTCGCTTGAAAGTATATATCTACGTTGCTTCGGGGAATATGAAAGGAGGGATGAGAGGGGATTGCAAAATCGAGGGTGAAGTATTATATATTGAAGGAGAATAATAAATATCGGGTGAATCGAGGGGGATAGAGATTCATTGGCGATAGAAATGGGAATATTGTACGTACGTTTTTATCTCGACAGAAGGAATGGAAATTTTTTCCACACTTTTTTTTTTTTTTATTAATCTCCCGAAGTGATAACTTTAGGTACATTTGAATACCAATACAATTGATTTCAACGAAATCTTAACATCTCTTTTTATACGTACGGTACGCTCTTGTACCGGCGTTTTTCCAATATTTACTGCTGTATAAATAGATGTCTTTAAGATGGTCCAGCACACAGCGTCTCTCCTCTAGAACGGACGAGATCATGATGCTTACTTCTGTTATTTATTTACCTTTTTTTTTCAAATATATGGTAATATGGTGATGGAATGTTTTTCTCACCATCCATTTGTTCATCCACTTATACATAATTTAATAGAGATTTTGTGTGATACAATATCAATTTTGTCGTAAGCACTACTTTTTTTTTTCACCATGAAAACTATTTATTGTCGTTTTTGATCACCAATTGTATAAAAGTGAAACCACCTTTTTTATCAATGCTTCGTTTTTCCATTAGAAAAAATACAAAGTCGATGACCGATATTGAATAAATATATTGGAATGTTAATCACACAGTAAAGTTACTTGAACGAATACATACTTTTTTGCCATAATAAACTGCTCTGTGCATGGACTCGACCAGTTTTTTCATCATCTGTCTGTAAGTTACCAGATAATTTTAATAACTCCATCGTACGTATATATATATATAATAACGCCTTTATATCACCTTACACATATCTTGTGCATTCACATATCTATACTATATATATAAGGATGTTAAACATATAAAGCGACTGCGCATCTGTATTTTACCACGTCTTGCGCGAACTAGAGTATTACCATTTTTATTTTTGTCCATTGGTTTTTTTTTTCGTTTATTTGACTATTTTTTATTTTCATTATTAACGTTAATGTAATTGAGAGGTATTGTAAAGTTGGACTGGCAGGTTTTAGTAGCTGCAAAATATTCATTCACCCCCTGAGGGTTTCGGCTTATGTTTGTGATACTGAATTCCATAAACAACATTACATTTATGTTTCATTTAATTCGTTTTATTAATTTATCATCGACGTAAATCGCAAAAAAACCCAAGTAATTTACGCATGGTATTGTCTGCCCGGATTTTTTCATTACGCAAATCAATACATATATATGTATATAAATATTTTAAATGCCAGTAGCAGAAAATAAATGCTGACCAATTACGGAGTATCGGTGTGGTTTATAAGAGGCAATCCGAAAATTGTCGAGTTCATGATAAACTGAACGAAATTGAGAATTCATCGAATGGGTGTTGGTCACTGGTATGTGAGTAAAAGTGAGCGAGGGATGAATAAATCCCGACATCTCGTCAGACTCGACGATAAGATGTACATAAATAAACAAATAGACTTGAACGAATTCTTCCCAAAATCTCTACCCGTTACACACCATATCTAACGACATTTGTCAATAATTTCTTGTCAGTATCAATTCTCAATTGCACATCACACTGAAAATAGATGTGTGAGTGATAACGCGGCGCCTACGCGTTTCTCCGTTTTTTCTACTCCCAACTCGATATAATTGATGCGATTAAAACTCAAATCCCCTCTTTTGACTCATTTTCTCTGTTGTCTCATATTCCTTAAACATTGCTATATTTATGATCCCTCGTTTTTATTTTACTTTCTCCAATTTTGTTTGTAAGCATAATATAGGTCTTCTTTTGATGCGTCTGGAATTACGGAGAATTATCACCGATAATCGGTAATTGACTCTGCATGAGTTGTAAATTCTTACTGATAATAGTTACTGTAGCCTACAAATATATTCTTTAATTATTTATTGATGTATTACATAACTCTGAGCTCATAATTCCAGGCGCATGGATATGAGCCTTTAGTTAATTCATATTTGGAGTAGTGATTGCGCATGCCAAAATGAAAAAAAGAACTAAATAATTTACATAAAAGAATAAAAAAATAAAAAAGAAATATTCTCACGTCTCCCGTCTCTCTGTGACCAACCGCAAACTGAGAGGAGCAAATGTTGCTTTTTAATTTTCATTATTTGATATTATTTAGTTATTAATAGATCGATTATTGACAGTGAACAATTATAATTTTTCGTTGTCCCGGATTAATTGTCATTTTTTGTCCATAACGAGAATGAGCTGAAGTATGAAAGTTGATGAATGATTTACTTATTGTTTATTTAATACAGACTAGTAAAATGCAAACGCCGTGAATGCGAGCACCCAGGAGACTGGATGACCGGCAATGTTGGAGGAGAAATAATTTGTTTGTTTTCAATTAATTTCACTTTAATTGCATGATGTGTGAATGTTTGTAACTCGAAAGAAACGGTGCATGGAAAAACGTGCGAATACGGTGTAAATGAGAGAAATAGGTCAGAGTGATGCCCAAGAATTTTCTAATACCATTAATTAATTTCTCTTAAACTAATAAACACTTTTGTACATTAATTCATGTACGTCAGAAATTGACCTGAAATTATACGAGTTTTTTGTTTTCCCACTTTTTTGGCGACAATGTGGGGCGCAGAGACCAAAAGTGAGTATCCATTCTACCTTGAAAAACCATCGAGTTCATTAACGATATTTTTTAAGATAACCTTGTTTAAAAGAGAAATAATTCAAGTTGAAGGAGAAGCGTTATGTAATATTTTTTTGTTGTTTATCTCACCTCGAGTGGAATAATTATCCACCCGCTTCGCCGGGACAAATGAGAAAAAAACGTAATTTTTTGCATACTTCCGAAGAGGCAGCAGGAAGTAAGTTCGGCCACCGTGAAACGCTGGTGCTCGCGAATTTTTGTTGTTCTTATCATTTTTTACTCTCACTATTTTTAACCTTTATTATTTTTAACCGTTGAAGCAATTGTAAGTTTTTATTTTAGCTAGCCAAACAATTGTTACCATTTTTTAAAAACACGTTTGTGTGTGTACAAAGTATCATAAAACCGCACCGCAAAGAAGCGATTGTTACTCATTTGTTTAATTGCCAAAATGTCTGTCTTTTGACGTAATCACGCATTCAACATTGTTTAATTTGCTAATTTATTACTGGATAATAATTATGATTCATCATTTTGTTATATATATCGCAGAAATCGTTTGATCGTAATTCGTAGTAGCTGTGTTTTTCATTATTAAATTGCTCGCGACAACAATGTAGGTAGGCAGTGGCAGTGCTGGTTCTGTTGAAGAGAAAAACCATTTATTTTTCATTGATTTTTACGTTTACTTTATCGTTTATTATTTCTGTAAATTATAAACGGCGCAACTACTCATCATACGTCGGATACTGGATTGTCCATGACGGGCAAATGTTACCTACCAAATTATAATTGATTCAGCAACTTCCATAGGACCAAAGCATGAATAGAAATGTGCAATATACACAATTTATTGTTTTTGTCAATTAAGAAGAAAATATCCAGAAAAAATCAGTGATGCACAATTTGCAACATTATAATTGTTTTTAAATTACTTTTGTCATTATTTATTTGGGCACAGCTTCTGCAATGTTATGAAACACACTACTTATTTATTATTCACATTTATATCACAGATGTATATTGTCATCTTTGTAGATAATGAACTGACATTATTTTTGTTCTCATCATGGACTCTCCAATAATACCGTCGGTGAGAATATAATTGTCCATTATTCAATTATCAATATATTCAACGCAACGAGAAGAAAGGAAAAAAAAAGAAACAAGAGATTTGTATATATTCATCTAAAAGAATTATTGGTATTCAAATGGGGGGATTTTTAGATGGTAGGGGTGTGTGTCCACGAAAAAGACGAAATTTTTCGAGAGTATGACCTACTTTATGAATTGTCTGTACGTTATCCAGTGTGAATCGGATTCCATCTTCATTTTTTCCATTTTCATTAATTTCCCATCCATTTCTTTTCCCACTAATCAATTCATTGAAAAGCTGTTTATTTTTTTCAATATCATTCTAATCCTAACTAACAATTACATTGCATATATTATTTATCTCTTTGTTTATTTAATTATTTTACATTTTGAGTTTTGTACCGTTCGAAGGGCATTGCCGCATTATCACATTTATCCCTCATTATAATTTAATAATTTATCTTGTTTTCAGATTTTTAGAAACCGTTTATTATTACCAATTATATAATTATTATTTATATTTAGTTGATATTTAACCCCGTACGAATGGTTGTAAATGTGTTTGCACCTTAACTCCATCATTGATGTGTAATTTCGAGTGAAAATTAATATTGAGTTGCGTTACAGTGCCAGGAAATCCTCAGGACGTGAAAGCCACAGCAATCAATTCAACAACCATCAGGGTCGAGTGGAAACCACCGCATGTCAAAGATCAAAATGGCGTTATTCGCGGATATCATGTTCATGTTCAAGAAGTTAGAGAAGAGGTAAAGTGTTCAATTATTTTAATTAAAAAACATATAGAATTGCTTGAATAAATCTACTCAAAGGGGAAGGATTTACTAAACGAGCCGATACGACGAGACGTTCACGAGGAGGGGGTACTAGCAATCAATATTACTGGCCTCCAGCCAGATACCACCTACCACGTACAGGTTGCAGCGTTGACCAGAAAGGGCGACGGGGATCGTTCGCCGCCAGCCAAAGTCAGGACTCCCGGGGGAGTACCAAATCGTCCACAAGTTAATGTGAAGTACGTGAACTGTCGTACCTATAACATCCATCCATTCTGATCAACGCTATTTGAATTTTATCATGTACTTTATTACACGATAAAATACCTTAAACTCATGTACTTGTACTATTTCAGAGTGATAAACCAGGATCCAATAACACTTGAGCTTGAATGGGCCATGCCAACCGAACCTGCTGGTCAACTAATTGGTTATCGAGTCAAATTTGGAATAAAAAATCACACCCTTAGGGAAGAAATGATCAATACCACTCATCAATTGACTTATAGAATCAAGGACGTTGAACGTGGTGTGCATTATGAATTTCGTGTAGCTGGTGAGAATGAGAATGGTATAGGTCAGGAGACGGTGAGATACTGGGAGAGTCCCGAGGGTGAACCAACAGGACCACCGACAAATCTCTCATATCACTTTCAAACACCAGACATTGTCTGTGTCACTTGGCATCCACCGAGACGTGAACACAGAAATGGTCGGATAATTCATTATGACGTGGAATTTCACAAAAAGAATGATCACAGTGCTATTGAGAGCCGAAATACCACTCAAACGAGGGCAGTATTTACAAATTTAGAGGCAGCCACTGAATACGTTTTTCATGTCAGAGCTCGTACGTCACGAGGTGCTGGTCCATTTTCAGAGAAAATAACTATTCTCACCGAGAAAGATATTGGTCGAGCACCGATGGATGTGAGAGCAATCGCCACATCAGAGTCCAATGTTGAAGTGTGGTGGGAGCCAGTACCAAATCGTGACAAAATCATTGGCTACAAGATTTTCTATACAATGACAGCTGTTGAAGATTTGGACGAGTGGAAGCAAAAAATCGTTGGCATGACTGAGGCAGTAGATTTAGAAAATTTGGAGCGAGACACTGAGTACGCTATTGCAGTGGCTGCAAGGTACAAGGGACGAATGCTCGATACTCCGGGCAGACTTAGCCAAAAAGTCACGGTTAAAGTTAAGCCAGAAGATGTACCCCTTAATCTACGTGCTTCTGATACATCAACACACTCAATGACACTATCATGGACACCCCCCATAAGACTGAATCCTATAAATTATAAGGTATCCTTTGACGCCGTTAAAGAGTTTGTTGATTCTCAGGGAATAACGCAAATGCAAATAGTCCCACGCAGAGTTATAACTCTCGATCCACAAGCAACAGCAACGACAATCGATGAACTACAGCCGTTTACAACTTACAATGTTAACGTTACCGCAGTACCGCCCGACTCTTCGTACAAACCACCAACTAAAATAACTGTAACAACCCAAATGGCAGCACCAAAACCCATGGTCAAACCTGACTTTTATGGTGTTGCTAATGGTGAAACAATACAAGTTATATTACCACAGGCATCTGAGGAATATGGACCAATCGCCTATTATTACTTAATTGTTGTGCCTGAGGATAAGTCAACCGCTAACAAACAGCCTGATGAATTCACCGAGGATATGATTACGGGGAAGGGAGCTAAACAGGATAAGGAAACTGCGCCCTATATTGCAGCTAAATTCCCACACCGAGCCATTCCATATACATTCCATTTGGGGAGCAATGAAGAGAATGAAGGTTTTGTAAATAAGAAATTGGAGTTGAAGAAGAAGTACAGAATATTTGTCAGGGCTATTGTTGATACTCCTAAAAAGGTACTTATTTTTCCCTGACATTTCATTTTTTTTTCATTCAACGTTTCCTAAAATGATTATAATTATCGTGTCATTATTATAGCTCAATTGTAAGTTAGTAAGAACAATCCTATTCCGTCCGTAAAACCTAGATAAAATGGTGCTTTGTGTCTTAATCTTCTTAACTTTCATCTCTTCTCTATAGTATTCTCTTTTCAACATACTTTTTTTTTGTTTTATCTACGTAGCACTTGTATACATCGTCACCGTTCTCCGAGTATCTCTCTCTTGACATGAGGGAAGTACCACCAGGTGAACCTCCAAGTAGACCGAATCCCGATAATCCAGTTGATGGTAATCCTGAAATATCTGTAACAAACAGCGGTCAAGAGCCGGGTATGGTGTGGGTAGTTGGTCCAATAATAGCAGCTCTAATGGTCAGCGTTTTTCTCGTCTTACTATTTATTATAAAAAAGTAGGTATAGCCACACAATAATTATAGATAATGAATGAATTATAGACTATTATTTATGGTATGTTGGTAATCTTGGCATCCAATTAGACGCAGACAGCCGTGCAAAGCACCAGATCAGGCAGCTGTCACTAGGCCCCTTATGGCAGCAGACATAAGCTCTAACCACGCGCCATCAGATCCAGTTGAGATGAGGCGACTAAACTTTCAAACTCCCGGCATGATATCGCATCCACCAATTCCTATCAGCGAACTTGGTAATCACATTGAACGTCTCAAGGCCAATGACAATCTTAAATTTAGTCAAGAGTATGAGTCTATTGAACCAGGACAACAGTTTACGTGGGATCACTCTAACATGGAGGTTAATACATCAAAAAATCGTTATGCCAATGTGATAGCCTATGATCATTCACGAGTTATTTTGCAAACAACCGATGGAATCGCCGGGTCTGATTATATAAATGCCAATTACTGCGATGGATATAGAAAACAGAATGCCTATGTTGCAACACAGGGGCCACTACAGGACACATCTACCGATTTTTGGCGGATGTGTTGGGAATTAAGGACAAGTACAATCGTCATGATGACAAAATTGGAAGAACGTACGCGAATAAAGTGTGATCAATACTGGCCGAGTCGTGGCTCGGAAACTTACGGTCAAATGACTATTACAATAAGCGATATTCAGGAATTGGCAACTTATTGTATTAGGACGTTCCAAGTTTGCAGATCGGGCTATTCCGAGAGACGAGAGATTAAACAATTACAATTCACAGCTTGGCCCGATCACGGTGTACCGGAGCATCCGGCGCCATTCCTCCAATTTTTACGGCGAGTGAGAACGCTGAATATGCCAGATTCAGGACCCCTGGTTGTCCATTGCAGTGCAGGTGTCGGTAGAACTGGCTGTTTCATTGTCATTGATTCCATGCTTGAGAGAATAAAGCATGAAAAAATGATTGATATTTATGGTCACGTAACGTGTCTACGTGCTCAACGTAATTACATGGTGCAGACTGAGGACCAGTATATATTCATTCATGATGCACTGTTTGAAGCAGTGATATGTGGCAATACCGAGGTACCAGCCCGTAATTTGCATTCCCATATTCAAAAGTTAATGCAACCTGAGTTGGATAATATAACAAGTATGGAGCTTGAATTTAAAAAATTATCCAATATTAAGGCCGATTCAACTCGATTTATATCGGCTAATTTGCCATGCAATAAACACAAAAATCGATTGGTACACATATTGCCTTATGAATGTACAAGGGTGTGTTTGCAGCCTCAACGTAATATCGAGGGTTCGGATTATATTAATGCAAGTCTCATTGATGGTTATCGTTATCGTGGTGCATATATCGCTACCCAGGGACCGTTGAGCGATACAACTGATGATTTTTGGCGGATGCTTTGGGAGCATAATTCAACAATAGTCGTTATGTTGACAAAATTGAAAGAAATGGGAAGGGAAAAGTGTCATCAGTATTGGCCGTCTGATCGGTCAATTCGCTATCAATGTTTTGTTGTCGATCCAATTGCTGAATACAACATGCCCCAGTATATACTGAGAGAATTTAAAGTGACTGATGCACGTGATGGTGCTAGTCGCACTGTCAGACAATTTCAATTTATCGATTGGCCGGAGCAGGGTGTACCAAAGTCCGGCGATGGTTTTATTGATTTCATCGGACAAGTGCATAAAACTAAAGAACAATTTGGACAGGACGGTCCTATTACTGTGCATTGCAGCGCTGGTGTTGGTAGAACCGGTGTTTTTATCACACTCAGCATTGTTCTCGAGCGTATGCAGTATGAGGGAGTAGTCGATATCTTTCAGACTGTTAGGATACTTCGTACACAGCGTCCTGCTATGGTTCAGACTGAGGTAAATTTTTTTCTTGTTACATAACTCTATTTTACCAATCACTACCAAAGAAAGCAAAATTTTTCATTCACTTTCTTCAATTTCACTCGATTAGCGCATTACACAAAAAGAAAATTACCCAATGCACTTAAATTCAGTTCAATAATTAATGTTCATTAATGTTCGTTGGAGACCCAAAATAAATCGGAATTCATTGGCATTTGCAGGATCAATATCAATTTTGCTATCGCGCAAGTTTGGAATATTTAGGATCATTTGATCATTACGCCAACTGACAACCAGAAAAACGCGAGCTTAGAGAACCAACGAGAGACCGAGGAGAGCGGCATATTAGGAGTCGGGAGAGTACTGGTGAGAGGGCAAAAGTTCGACGCGTTTGAATAGAAAGTTGGAATACAATAAACGAGGAAGGATGGAATAAAAATGAAAAGTCACTGGTGGATATAAAAACATGCAGCTTCACCTGTGAGTGCCCTCATCCCTTCATCCCATAAAGCAGCTCATTTGCTGGCGTAATCGTTGTATTTTGCAAGCTCGCTGGAAAGAACAATGAGTGAATGGTAGTTATTGCGTTTTTTAACTACTGTTAATTGCTGTGTCAGGCAGCCAATGGTTGTAATGAGAATAGAAAACGAAAACAAAAAAAATATAATGAAAATGAGTATCGTCTATTGCTCGTGTGATTTTGCAGCAGATCGCAATTACCACATGGAAATTTTCATTCTCGCTCATTTGTAGAGTGTCGAGGAATAACGCTGTAGAAAATTTTTACTCCAATTAACAATTTAACATGACGAAGACTAATTGAAATTAGCAGGAACACAATTTTCAATTAGTTTGAAACGAAATCGGCCGATTTTCAACGCCGAACTAAGACTGCCATTTTGAGCACGCGTGTGTCGGTTATACCATTCAAATTCAATGGTATATAATTCGTTGTGACGTGATTGTTTTCGGTTTAGTATAACGCATTATAAATTTTACAGAGATAAACATTCAAAAAAATATATAACATGGAAAAAATCGTCCGTTTTAAATGTTTCTTCTGCATTTATTGAGCCTTATTAATACGGTTGCAGTCATTTCTTTGTCAAGTCAATCAAACTAATGGAAAATTATAGACTTGGCCACATTGTGTGTCTGAAATTTCATCGAGTTGGAACATATCAAAACACGAAATAGTATATTTTGTCACTGGGCCGATAGAAACACCATCGTCAGAGAAGTTCTTTTCGGCCGAGTGACAAACGATATTTTTTCTCATTTAGTCCGTAAACAGGGTTTTACGATTGCGCAACAGTTGTGAAGCGTTACCCCACGGACTCAGTGACAAAAAATAATAATCGCCACAGTAAAATCTCCCTTCAAAGAGAAGGTGTACCCATTGTACTGCTTATTCCACCAATTTATTATCACTTTTTAGGGAGTGAAGCAAAATCGTGGTAAAGAAATATCAGTAAGCATATTATCGCGTAAAGAAACTTTACAACTCGAGAGATACTCATTAGGGCTACGAAAAAATTCATTTAACTCAACACTCAACAAATAATTCAAGAAAAAAGTAGCCAAATAGTGGCGATTATCAAATATCTTGAAGCAATGCGTATTTGACAATCCCTGTTGTATTTTCAGGGAACCATTATATTTCAACAGTGTCAGAGTAATGAAAATTTCCGCTCATTGACATTAAACAGAACATTTAAACAATTGACATACTGCCAAAAGTGACAATTATCAAATGCTACTCTCTTTCCAATCGTGCGAAAAACAACATATCGATTGGAAAAAGTTCTGATTACACTACCATTAAAAAAAAAATTACCTATACGAATTAAGGCCGTTGTAAGTTTAAACATTAAGAGATTTTAATGCCATTAGGCTTGAACCGATGAAATAAATAAAAAATGCGAACTTGAAGGACGAATGAACGTGAACGGTGCCTATGATGTATGTGATGGAAGGAGAAAATTCCATATTTAGCCCAACACATGTCTGTTAAGGAAGAATAATTTGAATAAGAGCACTGTATGTTAAAATGCACGCAATGTTGTCCTGTGGCCCTTATACCGCAATGTACAAAGCTCCGACGTTAACCAATCATTAACATACCCTTCCTTAACTATTCATTACATTATTCGAATGAAAAAAAAAACAATACGATCTATACATTATGTGTCGAAGTGAAGTAAAAGTAGAAGAAAGAAAACTCGTTCATTATCTTAGTGACCTGACCATTACTTTTAATGCCAATCCAATTACAGGAATTACCAATCCGACATTTTTTGATATTCAAAATAAAGATAAAGCGCGATAAAAGCATTGAGACTCATCCAATACTTCAAAATAATATTAAAACATTTTTAAAATCCTTTAGCCTGTACGGACAATAAATAAATACTCATTTATATTCTCCAATTTTTGAAATTTATATGGTAAGTTTATTGATTATATTTTCCATGGGCTATTGACATTGAAATTAACGAAAATAAGAATAAATAGATGAAGTTATCCAGAGCTAATCTTACTGGCTGTATAAAAAATCATTTCCTGAAATTGGCTTGGTGATGCTTTTGAAGAGAATGGAGCGCTTGAGGTTCAATAAATTGTACATTAAAATTTATTTTTCTCCCATGATCCAACGAAACACTTCCATTGAAATTTCACTGAGTTATTACCGTACCTTAACAATACCCTATATAATACCTGTCCCATTATTAAAGACCGTACCTATTTTTGAAGAGTAAGGAAAAAACTTAAAGCGGAAATACAAGGGCCAGGAATTCGCGACTATGTGTACATAAATGCACCGTCTGTCATTGAGTAGAATCGAATACGCATAAGATATAAACATTTATTCTAAATGAGAGAAAATGAGAATGGAGAATCTATGATGAGAGTAACGAACAAACGAACACATATTTTAACAGTCTATACGGGATAATGAGTGTTCGCGTTGGTGAATCGAAAAATGAAAGAAAAAAATTGCAGGTAAATTGTTTTTTTACCTTCCACTCCTTCCTTATCGATTTAACTCCTGGCAACTAGTTTGATTTACCCCAGTTTTTTATATTTCATAAGTAGAACTTTTTTATATATTTTGTATGGAAAAAAAACTGCATCTCACATACTATGTGACTTAAAAAAAAATAGCACTTTAGTTCTTAGATTCTCAACAAAACGAAAGCCGTCTTGATGCGTAGCTGGAGGATTTTCCCATTGATTAGGAAGTCTTTTTATGGCTCAAATCGTTCCTCACTTAATTTTTATTATTTGTATGTTTAAGTCTCCATTTTTTATTTATTATTGAATTTTATTATGCGTCAAGGGAATTGTTGCTTCGATAGTTCGTTATCATCTGTAATTCAAAGTATTTGTTGTCCATATACAACTGAATCGATTATATAATCAATCACTTCAGGTAATACATAAATATAAGACATTACACATTCCACCCTATCCTGAAATTTCACGCTTAAATCTTTTGAAGCAACAATTCCGCTCTTTCTGTATTTAAACAATTACCTATAGTACATTTCTTAAGTTAATTGATTTTACAACCTTTTCTATTTTTATCATCTCGACATTGAGATGCAATAAAAAAAATATCGTCTAATGACACAAATATTATTGTTATTGTAAAAGCTGAAGCTGATTGTTCCATTTCTCAACGGATATAAATGCATTTAAAAATTGAACTAATGAAAGCGAAGAAACTGATTACATTTAATCTTTTTTTAAGCCGAATGAACATTTTCAATATGAATGTATAATTTAGTATGTAAATTATTAATGTTATTGCATTTTTGTACTTTACATAAGAACATATTTCAGTGCATATTTTGAATAATTTTGAGGTCTGGGTGGAACTTTTTTGTTAACATATATAAATAAAAAAAAAAATTCACCGCGTAATTTCAGCCAAAAAAAACAATAACTCGATGCAGGTCTTTTCATGGATTCATTTCAAACTCTTCAATCCCACCTGTGTATGAAACAATGTTAAAGTACAAACGAGAGATGTAAATTACGCTTCAGGAATCCAGCTCTAAATGCGCAATCATTACCGAATCGATAATTTACATCCCTCGATCTTATTTAACACACTTTATACAAAAGTGGAATCAAAATAGTAGAGATAGTCGCAGGGAGGACCCTACAGATTTTCCTCCAGTATTTTGTGTTTGCCGACAATTTCTCATCAAATGTTGGCGAAAAATTTCCATCCCAATCTTAAATGATCATTTTTACGAATAATTTCCGAATAAATAGCGGTAATTTAATATTTAAAGAATCAGAGTATTTAGAAGATAGTGGTTTGTTGTATTCTTGTTTTTTAAAAAAAGTACGATACTTACCTTCGGTACTCTGACATGTCACTGTATGTCCATAAGCCATCTTGTGTTTCTGTTCGCAAATTGAATAGGCAGTATTTCAGAAATGTACAGTGATAGCGTTAATCGGAAACAAAAGTTTACTCGAAAAGAATTTTAACATAAATAACATTGAATCATGTCAAATACTGAAGAACGTTGAGAGAATGGGAAATTATTTTGTGATACTTTCTTGCCAGAAAGAATACAACAGGCTGAGGCAGAAGAAATAGGGAATATAATGTTACTAATTAATTATTACAAAGAAATGAAGAAAAAAACAGAATAATGATTATTGTGTAATAGAATGATTCAGTGGACAAGGAGAAATACCATGTACATTATGTATTGCCTTGTGGCATAGAATAGAAATTAATAATGTAATTTTTGGTCGTTTACCACGATTTATTTGGAGTCAACGTCCTCTTCTCATCCTCCCAAAAAAAAAAATTTAATTCCTCATTAAATCATTTAAAACATGACATTACTCGCACGACGAAAATAAGCAAATACTTACAAATAGTATGTACAAAAAATTTTCAAATTAAATAATGACTCATGATAAAATTAAATTAGATGATATTAGGCTGTTGTCCCCCGGCGGTCGTTGTGGGCGGGCTCTTAGTCATCATCGAAGCCATGACATTCTGCATAACTTGTTTCTTCAAAAAATCACTGGTAGCTGCAGACATACTCTGCTCTTTTCCCATTTTACATTTTACGTATCCATAAAGATTGGCTCCATTCAGTACAATAGCAATGCAGACGAGTAATAACCATTTGAATTTAAGTCCAAACAGTGCTATAATAAAGAACAGAGCCCAGAGTAATGGACAGAGGATTAGAGCGAGCCAAAAAATTCTTGACTCTGATGCATTTATGCGATTCTGCTGAGAACCCTGAAACAAGGGGCACATAGCAGTTTCAACATAAACAAAAATTTTTTTTTTTTTCAGGATTCAATAGACATTCATGGGAATTTATTCATGGAATTATTTACTATGTATTGTATGCAGTATATCTCATGGGCGAAAAAAAAATACAAGGGCGGTGAATCGAGGAACAAGATGTGAAGATTTTAATAGAAAATCTTCTTGAAGCATTCAACCACTTGGGTAGAGAATAAATAAAGTTGCAAGATAATAGCGCTTGATGGTAAAAATTTATGTGAATTATTTAAACCTTTCTCGACTCGAAAACCCAGTGGCTGTTGCCACTATCGTCCACGTAATTCCACCATCTGAGTCCCACCATCAATCTCCCAGTGATGTTTTTTACTGTCCAGAAGTCCATGGAGAGCAATAAAGTTACTACGACAAAACTTGCTATAAAACTATTGGAGAACCATCCACATAAGACATAGGTTAGTATTGCCGTGGTTCTGAACGCCAAGTGAAAAAACGTGACATAAGGATGCCTGAAAAAATTTTAATTTATTATCATATTATATCAAATTATTATTCTAATTTATTGATGACCGTAAAAAAATAAAATACTCACTTGAGTTTTCCACTTCGGGCATCGTCTTCCTCTCCGAATCCGATCGTATCATCATCCATCAGTAATGGTACCTGGAAGTCACGCAAACATCATCCTAAAAATGACAACAACCACCACCAATTTCCCAGACATTCAATGCAACAAGTACAAAAACATACACTCGTGATATTTAGTATCTATAAAATGTAGAATTTATTATAGATTTTCTTCGAAATTGATTGTTTACTTTTTTCTACAATTTGACACGTCGTCTTATGTGAGTGACAGGCCTGTCCTTCATAATAATGTACGAATGGAGAAATCGTACAATTGTGAAATCGAAAAAACGACAAGCATTATCCAACCACCTTGAACCCCAGTTACAATCATAAATAGAAGAAATAATTCATGCTGGACAGGAGATAAACCCCAAATAAGTTCATACTGACACTTACCGAAGCAGAAGCCATCTTGAAATATTTCTGTATTTTCTAACCTGCAGTGAAGAAATCTTCTATGCAAGTCCCGCGGGACTATTCGGGGGAGAAAACACTAGTGACATCTAGAACCGATGTAGAAACATCTGAATACACACGAATACCGTAAGGTGGCTTGATCCAATCCGAATAATCAGAAGTGAAAAAAAGTGTATGGGAGATGAAGCTCCACGTGTTATCTCACATAAACACAAATGTCCACGGATATCAGGGGCGTTCTACCCTGTAAAAGTGTGAAGAGGACGTCAACAGGACAGGTGGAGGCAATTTCTTAAGTGGATATTACAGTCAAGGTTTTGTTCTGGTACGCAACAGTGAACGTTTCAAGTCATGGATAGTGAAACGATGCTATAACAACAATTGCGAGGCCATTATTCGCATAGTTTTGTCCCTGAGACAGGCAGGTGCATAAAAAAGGACTTCAGTTAGCCTCGAACTTCAACGAGGATCTAATGAAAATAAGTGAATCTATTCAGCATCCTTGACTAGAAACATGTGAGCAACCCCTCCAGCGAATGTCACATTTAGCACGTGTGATTTACCGGTGTTCCATTCGCAATTTTGACAAGGCTGTGACAATCGGACAGATGTTCGTTATTTTCCGGTGTTAGTGATTAAAAACGTTTGACTAGGCGGTGGAAGTTTGTCGATGGAGAGGTGGTGAAGATAACCATTGTCGGGAGTCGGTCTTCCAACAATTGAGTGATTTTGTGTATTAGAGAGACAGTCTATACGGAAGGAACTGATGCAGGACAGAATCTAATTATTACAAAGGGTGATATTGACTCTCCCGTTTTCTATTGAATTTTTTTTTTATCAATTTTTTCAACGAAAAGCCAAGATGATCAGAGATTTCTCAGCACTCAATCAAGCCCTCATAGGAACCCTCTTCACCTGGGCACTCACCGCAGCCGGGGCTGCTCTCATTGTTGTCATTCAGGGAAAACAGGTAAATATATTTTTCATCTGTTTTTGTTCTTGTCGATTTCTCATGTTACAAACTTCGCCTAATGTCCTTTTGCGAATCCCAAGTATACAATGCAAGTTGTATGATAATTAAATGTTTGCTTATCTTATCTTAAGTGCAGGCCACAGGTATCACGTAGTACCAATAGAATTCGCTATTAGTTATTTGATAATAAGCAACAATACTTGTATTGTATAAAAAGGATGAACAAATGATTTATTCTTAGAACGAGTCTATTACGAAAACTAAAACATAATTCGGAGTCAAGGAATCAAATTGGGATATTTTTCCGCATTCGGCTTTTTCTACTCCTGAGTTATTTATTTACTGATGTACGATTAAATTTTATTATGCTATAATGTGAATAGAACGGATCCAATTGAAGACATGAATGGTCACATTTTCATGTGAAATATTGTTTTCATGCAGAACATTAGCTTTGAATATTTTTTATCCTGTACAAATTGTAAATGCCAACACGACGATTTGTAAAAATTTATTACATTTTTTCTGCGCTAATTGAACACTATTTATGAAATTCATCAAACTGAGGATAAAATTGCAGCAGACTGTTCTTTCATTTTACGGTGATTTTTTGCATTGCGAAAAAACCAATATCGAGTGAGAAAATAGGAAACCCAAGGTTATTTAATTAGGCTGCAGTATGGCCAATAATTACTAGCTTTGTAGATTATTATTTTCTGGAAACAGACACTTTTCTGTTGAATCATCTTGAAAAGGCAATTAATATAGAGAACTTCAACATTAATCCGATTCAGCAATTCATCAGGATGAGCTTAAAAATGTAATTGGAGCATATTTTAATTAATAATTTAATGATGTGCGTTGCAATCTGCATGAAAATGATATAAAACAGATATAGATATAAACAAACCTTTTGTATTAAGAACAACATAACAATTATATTTTTTCTGAGAAAAACCATATAGAATGGAAAATGAGAAGACCTTCAATATATTGGTCTTTGGGTACCCGTGTAATCAGGGCTCAACTTGCGGAATGTTATCTTTTATTTCTCCACTCTTCTCGGGTTTAAAATTATCGGAAAAAATGATTTCAGAAAAGAATGATTTTCCTCTCCAAAGAGTGATAAAGTGATTATTCATACATACAATATTCATATTTTTTAATCGAAACAAGAAGAAAACGAGATTAATCGTCAAAATAATTGATCGACTGACCTAGTTACCAATCACAAATTGATTGAATAGTATTCTAAAGGTTGTCGTTTATTAATTTTGCAGAGAAAACTTCTCGACGTGAGCCTGGGCTTTGCAGGTGGTGTAATGATAGCAGCAAGCTATTGGTCACTGCTGGAACCAGCCATCGAAATGGCCCAAGAAAGTAAAATCTATGGTTCCAATGGGGAATATGCTTGTATACCTGTTGGAATTGGATTTATCATTGGCGCAGCGTTTGTTTATGGGACAGATGTATTGATATCAGCCCTTGGCATTCAATCCCCCAATGTGCTATTAGCTATGCAATCAGTTGGTACGAAACAAAGACGAAAAAACCATGAAAAGAGTGACGAGGATTTAGAGGATAACAATGTAATTAGTGGTGTACAAATAAGCAGTGGCAAAAATCATTATGACACGACCACTATTGATGGTATTGCCATGTACATATTTATTCCTAGACGAAAAAAAAATATTATAAATTCTGTAGGCCTGAAAAATGAGATCAGTTCACTGGCATAAATGTGAATTCGCCCTTTGCTTCTTTGCTATCCAATTCACTCTTGAATAAGCATTTGCAACTTATGGAATCGCTTACCCTATCTAATCGAATTATTGAGAATAATAATCCTCAGAATAGCTACTTGATCCAAGTTATCTGCTTATTCCGGAAACTCTCTCTCCCTTTCTCTTTCTCACCGCTTACTTTATATCTTTCCCTATTTAATTTTCCAAAATGGAGATTACGGTTTGAGAAGTTAGATTTTTTATGACTAAAAATAAATGCATACATAGTGGCTAGCCTCTCTAATCCAATGCAGAGAACTCCCGGGCAGAGTCTTAACCATTTAAATAATGAAAGGTAACAACGCGATTAAAATACGGAATATGCGCAAGTGGATATGATCAAATTGGATTAACAAAAGCGTTAAATCTCTCTTGTGAAAATTATGATGTGCCATGTGGTGTGTGCAGTGTTAATAAATCTTAAAATATTAATTTTTACATCTTGAAAATATAAAAATCCAGTAAAAAATGCGGTTAATCATTTAAAACAACGTATTTACGGATTTAAATGACTTAAAGTAATAACAAATAAATATTGTGAGAATGGCCATATTCATCATTATCAGACAATGTTCCAAGGTTCTCTGTACTTAAAAACTGATCTTATTAATTATTGCCCGCTTACAGGCGGACAGTGTGCCAAGCCACAGTTTTATAATATTTTCTACTTTTTAAAATCATTCTTCACCTGTCAGTGATTGAGTTACTTGTCGTCAGTGGAACTAATTTTACGGAAACTATGAACGCATGTTTAGCATGCAAAATTAAAAATCATCGACAACTTATGCCAAAATTCTATGACTTAGGGAATGGTTTGGATAGAAAAGATGATAATAATTATTCATGAATAGATTTTGCCGTATTTTTTAGGATTTTACGAGCAAAATACCAGAAGAAGACAAACTGGATCTTTATCCAGAGGGTCGGAATTAGACGACATGGGGACTATATACGAGGATCCAGGAAATGAAGCTAAAAACAATCAGTGGAGACGGATAGTCTTATTGGTCGTAGCCATAACGGTACGAAAATTTCTAGTTTTAAAATGTTATTTAATTCACCACAGGATTGGATTAATTGCTGATGGTTTTTCAGGTGCACAACATTCCGGAAGGCCTTGCGGTTGGCGTCGGTTTCGCAGCAGTGGGAAGTAGTCCAGCAGCTACCTTCGAGAGTGCAAGGTAAGCCTTTCAATTTTAAATCCTCGGTTCATCAGCTTATGCTGATTTTCAATTTCAATGCTTCGACATAAATAAGTGAGTTTCCCAGGCTCCACGTCTGAAAAAATTAGATTAAAGCCACACCACGGAAAGACTATTATCCTTCCCCACGTACTTGGCATCCTCGTCTTCGGCGGGGATACAATATACTCGTAATAGCAATTCCTAGACTAGAATTCTTGAAATGTAGTACGGAAAATCAAATTGTCAAACAAATAATAGAATTTGTAGTAGCGTATGTAGAGCGGAAGGGCAAAGTTTCAAAGGACACAGAAAAAGCTATTGAATAGTATTTTTAAAATTATAAATAAATCTACATTTAATTCTCATTTGTAACCATATTGCGAAAAGCATTTTCAATTCTTACTGTTTTTTGACATTCGGTAAGACGGATTCCTGCACTTGAGCTTGCCGACCACGCAGTGATCGATTATCAACTGAGGCAACATTTAGCTTCTCTCTGTTCGCTATGCAGGATCTCAGATCTTGTAGCCGTATGTGCGCCCATATATCGGTAACTTAGAATGACCTATTAAGGCGAGGAAGGGCGCTTGGGATATATAGGGAAGGGTATAGGTGCAATTTTTTTTCGATTTAGAAAATCTCGATT